GCCAATGAGACGGAGACCAGTACGGAAGAAGATACGTTCCGTAAAATTAAGAGACTTTGTTGTATTTTAATTTTGTGTTTGTAAATTATGTACATTTAATTAAGTTATTGTTGATTATCCATTGGTTAAATGTAAGTGGATATTGTTCGGGACGACCAATACTAAAGAAGAGGCAGTGTTACGACAGCGGAAGTGGAAATTCTGTGTATTAGTAAAATTTGTACCGAGAAAGAATAAACTAGTTTTAATGAAGAAAGGACTTGTATCGCTGAAGTTTCTCGGAAATAATTTCTAAGGGAAATTAACAAACAAGCAGATACGTAACACACTAAACAAAGCAAGAAATCTTATTTTCTTCCCGAAGGTTAGTTTTTGCTTTATTATTATTATTATTATTAATTCATTAGTCAGAAAATAGTTTCTTCGGGTAAGCCTGACCCAAAATGTTGCTTTGTTATAATCCCATAACATCAGTAGTTTTATCTTGGAGACAACTAAACTGAAACAAGCAAAACCTTTAGTGAAAAAACTGAATAGAGTTTCGAGTTTTTTTAATAGTGTAATAAACTTTTTGACGACAGAGGGCAGATATTTTGTTGAGGGTATTCGTTTTTATTAAATCATTCATTCGAGGGCGTGGTGATATAGGTTAGGAGAAGTTGGTGATAGCGAGCAGTAGATAGACCTAAGAAAGTGTAAGTATTTAGATTTATTTGTTAAACTTGTTGTAATGATGTATATTTAAACGCAATTTTTTAATAATTGAAAGGCTTTGGCTTTTTAATAATAATAATTTAAATCTCTAAAGTGCTATTTAGCTCTGATTTTAAGTTTTTTACCGACGATGCAGTGGAAATAGTTGTTTTAACTTTCCGCTGACGATATTCGGCATCAGTGGCACTGCAGTAATTTATTTTTATTTTTTTCATTTAAATTTTAGTAAAACAGTTAACGTGTTTACATAATCTTTTATTTTTTTTCGTTTATGTTATGCTTTGATTCGTTATTTTACGGGGAAATAGGGTAAAATTGGTAAAACTCAATAAGATAACATTTATAAATAAGTTTGACATTTAATCGAACTCGGAGTAACTGCACCAAAACGTATACACAAAAGTCAATCTTCGATAATAATAACTTTAAGAATTAAAAGAATGTACCACTGTCCACCAAAAGTTTTCAAGGGTTATTTATAAGCAAAGTATATATATATAGAGAGAATATATCAATTATCTAGGTATATAAGGCTATATGTTACAAATCTCTCTCTCTACGTGTGTTATAGTTATACCACGAGTTTCCAGTAAAACGAAATATAACACATACTGCCGACGGGAGAGAGAGAAACCTGCAATGTCGTTATTCCATTGTTATTTATGGTGAATTAACAGTAAGTGTATGGACTTATAACGCAAAAATCCGAGGTTCGACTCCCCGCAAATGACAGAGTGCAGATAGCTCATTGTGTAACTTTGTTAAAAACACAACAAACTAGGATTTCGGTGTCAATTTTATTTTCAAACAGTACAAAATTTGTTATTTTCTAACTTGATAAATTATAAATATTGAAGCAGGTGAAGTGAGACAGCATCTATACTTACTGAAAACCATTTTGTATGGAATCATACTTGATTCCAGCTTCTCTAGCACAAAAAGAAACTTCTTATCGAATTGTTCAAAATCTTTTATTTTTTTTAACTTATAGTTCCAACAGAACCATGTCAGCTATTCAAGTATATCACCAAGAGGAAGAAATGAAACAAAATGCCCAAAAAATGGCCGCCCAAGCTACAACTCCAATAGAAAAGTTGAGATACCAATGTCTACAGAGAGGAGCAAAAGGAATTAAAGGGCTGGGAAGGTATGCTGTAATCTATATAAATAAAGTATTTTAAACGGAAAACTTTGCTGTCAGCTCCATAGGTTTGTGTTGAAATTAAATATATTAAACAGAAAATCTCCATTATCAGTTCTATAGGTTTGTGCTGAGATTAAACATGTTAAACAAAAAAACTCCATTATCAGCTGTATAGGTTTGTGTTGAGATTAAACATATTAAACAGAAAAACTCCATTATCAGTTCTATAGGTTTGTGCTGAGATTAAACATGTTAAACAGAAAAAACTCCATTATCAGCTGTATAGGTTTGTGTTGAGATTAAACATATTAAACAGAAAAACTCCATTATCAGCTGTATAGGTTTGTGTTGAGATTAAACATATTAAACAGGAAAACTCCATTATCAGTTCTATAGGTTTGTGTTGAGATTAAACTTTTTAAATAGCAAAACTTCACTGTCAGTTCCATAGGTTTGTGTTGAGATTATACATTTTAAATAACAAAACTTCACCGTCAGTTCCCTAGGTTTGTGTTGAGATTGAGTATCATCTATTGTACTTGTGAAGAAGGATGGATTCACAAAATTATGCATGGACTACTGGTAGGTGAATGAAATTACAAAGAAGGATTACTACCCAGTGCCAAGGATTGACTCTACCTTGGATGCTATCTCTGTATCAAAATGATTTTCAACATTGGATCTTAAAGTGGAAAATGAAAATCGACGAAGCAAGTAGAGAAGGGAAAACTTCTACTGCAGGAAATGGATTGTGGCAATTTTTTGTTTTACTATTTGAATTATATAATGCACCTGCTACATTTAACTGCTTAATGGAGTGTGTCCTGTCTGAACTACCCTGTAACGTCATGCTGATCAACTTAGATGGCATAACTGTACATGGAAAACATTTGATAGTACTTATGAAGGGCTAAGGAAGGCTCTGGGTGTGTTGAGGAAAATGAATCTTAAGCCGAATTCCGAAAAGTTTGAACTATTCTATCATCAGCTGAGTTTCCTGGGACACGTAGTCAAAAACGAATTTCTACAGATCCATCGAAGATTGAATCTGTCCAGAATTGGCCAACATCGAAGAACCTGCATGACATATGAGGATTTCTTGGAGTGTGCTTTAACTATCATCATTTTGTAAAATTATTCTTTGATGTAGCTCATCCTTTACACAAACTACTTGAAAAATCAAATAGGTTTTTATAGATTGTTGAAGAAACAATTGACCATTACTGCTGTACTAGTGTACCTGACTCTTGAAAATCCATTCATTTTAGATGCAGATGCCAGTGCAACACGAAAACAAACATGTGGTTGCCTACTTTAGCAAAGTGATGAATACTGTAGAAGGAAGATATTGGACAACTTAGAAAAAGCTAGTAAGTGTTGGTCAGGCCCAATATGTGTTTCCATCATGATGGATATGGACAAAAGTTTGGAAGTGGCCGATGAATTTTCATAAACCAGAAGGCCAAATAGCAAGATAGCTCCAACAATTTCAGGAGTACAACAGCCTCAAAGAAATGCTGAAGCATAAACCTGAAGACCATGTGTTAATGAAGAGAATAAACAATGTGAAAAGAAGGAAGCGCTAGATAGTAAAGACAACCGAACTAAAGTACAGCAAGACGTGGCATCCACAAGTTATAATTTAGAACTAATGTGATCTAACACCGAACTGTAAGCTGCTCTGGAAAAAGATACACGTTTTAAATCAATTATTTATTGGCTCATTAATTATGTAAAAAGACCCTTATAGCAAACAGACACCCCATACAATCCACACACACACAAAAAGATTTACTGGGCACAATGGAACTCGTTACATTTTCATAAGGGCTTATTAAGTCAGAAATGGGGAAATATCAGTGGGCAGAAAGAAAAGACAACTATAGTTGGTACTTTCACAGTCTCTACATTCTAAAGCACTCTGTCATATCCACAGTCTTTAATAGTTTGACACTTAGGTGTTAAGAAGATGCTTAAGAGAACACTTTTACTTGGTTGGGTACCAGAGGTCTCTAGATAATTGGTGTGAAACATATGAACTGTGCTGTGAGTGTAAAGGTCCACAAAAGAAACAGCATGGGCAACTACAGCAGTATTGAGATAGGTGTGGCCAATATACTTGGTTCTCTGCCATTGACTAACAATTGGAATAAATACATCATTGTTGTTATGGATTATTTCACGAAATGGAGTAAAGCAAATGCTGCTCCTAATCAGGAGGCAGAAACTCTAGCAAGGAAACCCTTCAACGAATTTGTTTCAAGATTCGGCATCCATGAGCATCTTTACTTGTATCATGAACAAAGCTTTGAATCAAGCTTGTTTGCATAAATGCGTTAGATCATTGGGATCAAAAACCATACGACAGCAGCCCTTCATCCATCTTCTGATGACTTGGTGGAAAGATAGAACTGCACACTGTTAAATCAATGAGCAACTTGTGTGGATGACCATTACAAAACATGGGCAAAACTCTTCCACTGTTAGTTATGAATTATCATAGAGTAGTACATGAAGCTACATGCAACACACCATCATTATTGTTGTTTGGGAGAGAGCTTAAGGTGACATTGGACCTTCTGTTCTCTCATGTAGAGAACAGTCACTCAGAAGAATCTTACACAAAGCATATAAAGATATTCAAGAGCGTCATTGATTTTATACATGACTTTATTTGAACTGAAAAATACTTAAATTGACTAGTGATAAAATGAAAAGTCGCTATGATATTAAAATTGATAAGACTGTATTCAATTGAGGTGATATGATGTGGCTGTACAATCCCTGCTGCAAGAATGGACGAACTCTAAAGTTAAGTAGGTGTTGGGAACTGTCATATGTTGTGGTTTACAGATGATTCAAGCCAAGGGTCATTCACCATGTTCCCTTTGAATGTATGTCGGTGAAAGAATAGCCAACTGGATAACTCCAGATAATAACTTGTCATTGGAAACTCAACCCGTTGAGGAGTCCAGAGTTCTCGTAGAGACTGCTTCCTGAGGATCATCAAGAATGGAGCCACTAGTAGATTCACTCGACCACCTACCTAGAAAGACCTCCCAAGCAACAAAACAGTTAGTAATGGCAAGGAACAAAGGGCCGTCTCATCTGTATACCATGGTCTTAGAATAGTAAACCACCAAGAAGACTTTGTGAAAGGACAGTTTAGTGTAATGTTTTATTTTTGTACTAGGGTTGTTCAAAATGACTTCACACTCCACAAAGAAGGCTGTGTTATAAGCTATATTTTAAACTTGTTTGTTTTGTTAAATTTTTGCATAAAGCTACCTGAGGGCAAACTGCATTAGCCATCCCTAATTTTGAAGTAATAGACTAGAAGGAAGGCACACTACCACAACCAAGTCTTGTGCTACTCTTTTACCACTGAAAAATTGGATTGACCATCATATTATAAGGCTCACACAGCTGAAAGAGCAAGCATGTTTGGTGACTGGATTCAAACTCACAATCTGCAGAGTGTAATTCGAGTTCCCTAACCATCCGACAACGCCAGGCCTACATTTTAACTTGTAGTTTATTGGTTTGATAGAGGGAGCTGCTGGTTTTAATGATGATGTAATGATCAAAATACTTTGTGAAATACCTAAAACAAGAAATAATATTTAATATGGAAACTCGTGAGTGGTAAAGTATGAATGAGTATTGAGCTAGTTTTGTTTTTCAGTCATTCAATGAAATATTTGGATCCATGTTAATTACCACATTTATTCAGTTACTCGATCGATCAGCCGTGAAATTGTACAAGTTAGATTATTTTTACGTTAGCTGTAGTAAAATTACTGTGGTATTTCCTTAGGCCTAACAATTGCAATAAATGTAGTACAGGAACATAAAGAAAGAAAGAAGAAATAAACTAATGTTTTACTATACGTGGACTGTACTTTGAATTATTTTCACCAAATAATGTAAAAGAACCAGTCCAATGAAAGAACAACAACATTGTAACAATACTTTCTCCTAATTTGTAAATTTTCCTTCTAATAGTACAACCTTCCCAAACTATCCTTGTAGTGGTGTTGTAAGCTGTACTTGTTAGCTAGAGGGCGTAGAAGTCTTAGAAAGTCTAAAGGATATGATGTTACGCGTTTTCTAGTATATTTGTACCTAGATTATGAATATTAAACTCCGTGAAGCATCGGTAGGTTAGTTAGAGAATCAGTGTTGAATCCAAACCTTTCCACTGGGGGCGGGGATGTGAAGCCGGAAGAAGATTGAATTAAAATTCGAGAAAATAGAGAATACTGTACTTTAATTGAAATACTTGACTCCGCAAATTTACAATAATATATTTTATTATTATTGGTTATAATATTTAAATTTAATTTTTATGCATTTGCAAAAAGAAAAAAAATTACCAAACTACTTAAACATTTTTATCTTGATCTCCTTGCTCCCTTGCAAGTATTTGAAGGAGCTCAAGTCAGCCCACACGGCATCAGCTTTTAGTCCATCAAAGAAACTACATCCTCTCTTCACATCATCATATGTTAAACTGCACATTGACTGGACCGTTTGAAAGGAAGCACCTACGTTGATGAGGGAGACCACTTGATCAATGAATCGGTACTACATTTGCTCAATCATAGTATCAACAAATGTTTTAATGTTTTCGAAGATTTGAATTCCTGGCTCATTTTCAAGGCTCTGTCTCACACCAGAAGCCTTAGTTTTGAGATCTACGACAACTATAGCAATAGAGTTTTCTTTACTTAAATGGGCACACTAAGCCCCTGTATCTCTCAAATGTGCTGTCGTCGACGCCACAAGCTGAGGAACTGGCGACAGGTTTAGGTGTGTGTGTGTTGTTGTTTTTTTTACTTTGCTGAGATAAGATACTGCACATAAAACCTCATCCAAAACTGCTGGGATAACAATAAAACTATATTTCGCCATTTCCAGCAAGATACCTCTTGCTAACGATACTAAAT